CCCTGCATAGACTTGAGGCCTGGGGCATATGAAAGGAGCTCTTTTAAAAAAAGGAAATAGAAGCTTTAGCTACAGAAGTTTCAGACTTCTTTTTCTGGGGCAACCTCCTCTAACCTCCTTGATATAGGCGTGCAAAAGTAATTCCCCAGTAAAGGGCACCAGCACTAGTGACTTCTTGCAGGGAAGCTCTGCAGACCAGCATTCGAGCCACAGAATCCTCAGCATATAGATAGAAAAAAGGCTAATCCTGGAGAGGGTATCCACCAGATCAACAGAAAATTATAAGGCCGCAGAAAAAAGTTCTAAGTGATTAAGAACCTTAGGGTCCACCAATATGGATACGGGATTCCGAGCCATGGATTTTGACCATACAGATTAGACCTGACAAAATGACAGTGGCAACCTCAGGTTGCATTGCAGTGACCTCAAGGGCAAACAGAGCCATAAAGAGTGATTCTAACCCGTCATTGGGTTCCTTAAAAGAAGGCAATGCCCTCAACAGGAAGGATGATAAGACAAGAAATAGCCGGGTCCACAAGAGCGACCACCCACTTCTTAAGAAATCTTTAATAGGATATGCTTGGGGGAGTAAAGTTTCAGGATGCAGCCAGTCCACATCAACACAGGCTGCAAGGTCGACACAGCAGGCTCTAGCTGTTAACATGTTCCCACTGTGTCCGCAGGACTGAAAGTGTCCTTGAGCTTGGAAGAAATGTCCGCAGACAGGTTATCTTCCTGAGTGGGTTCATAAGAGGCAGAATCCTCCTCCCCCGGAGGCAGATTAAGAGAAATGAGGCAAGAGTCTGAGAGGGTCTCTGAAGTGGTAGGAGGGGGGCCACTTGCTGTCCCTGTGGTCTAAAGCCCAGAAAAGATCAGCCATCTTACCTATGAAAGCAGACATACAGTGTGGAAAATAATGATTTGATCCCCTGCAGATTTTGTATGTTTGCCCACTTACAAAGAAATGAAAGGTCTATAATTTTTTATCATAGGTGTATTTTAAATGATAGAGACAGAATATCAACCAAACATCCGGGAAAAGCACATAGTACAAATGTTATGAATTGAGTTGCAGTTCAGTGAGTAAAATAAGTATTTGATCCCCAAGCAAAACATGACTTGGTAGAGAAACCCTTGTTGGCAAGCACAGAGGTTACCTATTGGTTACCAGGTTTGCACACATCTCAGGAGGGATTTTGGTCCACTCTTCTTTACAGATCTTCTCTAAATCCTTAAGGTTTCTTGGCTGTCGCTTGGCAACTCGAAGTTTCAGCTCCCCCCATAATTTTTTTATAGGATTAAAGTCTGGAGCCTGGCTAGGCCACTCCATGACCTTAATGTGCTTCTTCTTGAGCCACTGCTTTGTTGCCTTGGCAGTATGCTTTGGGTCAATGTCGTGCTGAAAGACCCATCCACTACCCATCTTCAGGTTTCTGGATGAGGGAAGGAGGTTTTCATCCAAGATTTTACAATACATGGCCCCACCCATTGGCCCCTCAATGCAGCAACGTCGGCCTGTACCTTTAGCAGAGAAACAGCCCCAAAGCATAAAGTTTCCACCTCTGTGCTTGACTGTGGGGATGGTGTTCTTAGGGTCAGTCAGCATTTTTCTTCCTCCAAACACGGCAAGTTGAGTTAATGCCATCTCAATTTTGGTCTTATCTGACCGCTGCACTTTCTCCCAATCCTTCTCTGAATCATTTAGATGTTCATTGGCAAATTTCAGACAGGCCTTCTTGAGGGTGACCTTGCGGGCACTGCAGGATATCAATCCATGGCGATGTACAGTTTTACCAATGGTTTGTTTGGTGACTGTGGTCCCAACTGCCTTGAGTTCATTCACAAGCTCCTCCCATGTAGTTCTGGGCTGATCCCTCACTTTTCTCATGATCATCCTTACCTCATAAGGCAAAATCTTGCATGGAGCGCCAGCCCAAGGGCAATTGATGGTTATTTTGTATTCTTTCCCTTTGCAAATAAATAGGTCTAACAGTTGTTTTCTTCTCACCAGGCTCCTTGCTGATAAGTCTTGTAGCCCATTCCAGCCTTGTGCAGGTCCACAATCTTGTCCCTAACAGCCCTTGACAGCTCTTTGGTTTTGCCCACAGTGGTAAGGTTTAAATGGAAGAAAGAGATTCTGTGGACAGGTGTCTTTTATATACATAATGAGTTGTTGTTAGGAGCACCTTTACATTGACAGGACTAATCTGTGTACCACATAGCCAGTCTGTGGGGGCCAGAATGATTGTTGGTGGGTAGGGGGTCAAATGCTTATTTTACTCATTGAACTGCAACTCAGTGAGAGGGTGCCCAGTGCACCAAACCAGGCAAACAGAGGTAACACTGGTCTTGTAATGCAGCGGTACACAGTGCTTCTGACCAGGAGACTGAGGTGCACTTGCAGCATGAAGTGTGGCTGTGCTCAACGCACACCAAGGAGAGACCAAATGAGTGGCATGTACAGTAAAAAGGTACCCAGAGGTTGTGCAGGAGCATTGTGAGAATCCCAAGAGCAAGGGCACAAAAAAAGTCCGCCAAATGTACACCAATAAAAGTTCAACTTTGGTAAATAGTTATGGCTCTGATTCACTTTCAGAGTTGCCTGGGGGCCATGACTGAGGCTTACCCTGAGAGTTTTTTGGTCCTCACCATGGCTGCAGCAGAGGTCAGAGGAGATGTGCTGAACACGCTGTGACGGACTTCCTGATACCCCAAATGGATATCTCTGTCTTTAGGCTGTTCCCTGGGTACTGGAACCAGAAGCAAGTGAATATAGCATGGGCTTACCCCAAGAATCAGACAGCACTGTCTTTGGAGTGGAAACATGAACTGGTTTATTGAAGAAAGCACACAGAGTTTGTACCTCACAGAATCAGATAAGAGTTGTGTGTTACATTGAACAATCCCCTCCCCTAGACAGCCGGGTGCCGCATTGGAATTCCTTATGCACAGACACTCTTTGAACCTAAAGAATTACCTTAATTTGAACCTAATGAATGCCCTTAATTAGATAAGAGCGTGATCCCATTATGCCAAAGATTAACTCCCTGTGTCCTGTACAAGCAAGATTTTTTTTTCTTTTGTGTGACCTTGTTAGAGCGGTTTCCCAAGCAGTTGGCTGGGTTTGGCTTTAACAACAGGTATGTATAATTTTTTTTAATACGTTAACATTCATCATTAGCAGCATTCATACTATTTGGCTGGAGTTGCAAACCTTGGAGTGCATTCTCTGCAGAATCTGCTCTGTGACATTGGTTACCCAGAGAGTGGTCAATTGACAGGAGAATACTGCTCTACTCAACATGTGTGAAAAAAATTTTTTTTTTTTTTCAAAATAATTTTTAATTTTTTTTTTTACATTCACCATTTTTTTTCTATTCTGCTTGCTACCCCGGAGGTACTGAGCAGAAAAGCTGAGCCGAATGACGTTCCCTATGAGGATGGGGCGAACGGCAGTGAGTGAGCTGCCGGAGCTTCGGTTCAGCCGATCCAGATGGTCGATCGGCTGAGTCAAACTCCTTCTGCACTTCGGCTCAGCCGAAACATGCAGAGCATGTTCGTCTGACCGAAGGCAGCTGATGTACGGCTTAAATCAGCTGTACAAGGCTGAAGTGAATAGCCAGATTTTGGCTCACGTCACTTTGGCTAGTTATTCCTTCGGCAGCTTTGTGAATAACCCCCTAAATAGATCAACTAGAATGAAGTTAAAAAAAAAAAAAAAAACACAGAAAGAAAAGCTCCTTTAAAGTGGATTTTAATTGCACGGTAAGAAATGATATAGTACTTTGGTCTGTGTCAAATATCTTCTAATACAATGCTGCAACAAGGTCATTATCGCTCAACACAATCGTTTAGGACAAATACACAGACCGCAATCTGGAATTTCACATTCCATTGACAAATCAAGAAGTGTCCTGAATTTCTATAAAAACTAAACAATAAATTACAGTTAGGAATAATAATAAAATGAGCAGTAATTAGTGACATGAAATAAACATCTGCATCTGAATCATGTTCAGGCATTTACAGCCCTTCCCAAATAAGGAACCCTCAGGACATTGAACATACAGCATCATGTATGTATAGCATACATAATACACTAGATCTGAGGCCAGGCCTCGCTTTTCAAACTGGCAAATCTTTCTATTGCACTTCAAAATATTTTATTTGTACAAAAAAAAAACAAAGCCAGCTAATCCTAGGCCCTCTTAAATGTGAAATAAATATTACTAGTTAATTGTTTTACGTAGAAAAATAAATACTTTGAGAAAGTGACATTTGAACAAACAACTAACAATCTGAACAGAGTAAACGAAATAGATGTGCACCTCTCTTTACAAAAAGGCATTTGGTTTTGAAAATGCTATAACCGCAGTGGAAAAAAAAATAAAAATGTATATGATAGATATATATACACATATATACACACACACACACACAGAATTGTATGTAGCATACGTGGTTATTTTTGCACAGGTATACGAACCATTAAGAGTCTTGTAGAAGAGTTTTAGCTGCACATACAGTATCAGCATAATAAGAAGATAAACTTAGTAATGATTCTTCATATTCTATTTTAAAGCCTTTGATTTCTACGTGTAATTTATGAATATGGCCTGTTGAGTTGGCCATACTTGTCTGGTATGCATTATGCATCATGTGCGTTCTGCTCAGTAGTGCTGCACACAGTTCAAGCTTAAATCCCCAATGTAAATGTATTACTCACTTTACTATTTGATCCATCCTGTCATTTCAGCAATGGGTCTGAAGACTGCCGTTCTCTGTAGACGTACGGTACAAGCGTGTCAAAATGTGGGAGACACTTGAATAATTTTCAGCTAACCTATGACCATGTGAAAAGGTGTACTCACTGAAAAGACACTATACCTGACCTTGGAAACAGGTGGTGCAGAAATCCCAAACACATATTTTGGCAAAAACAGCTTAAATCGATTCAGCAATAACGTTTGAATACAAGCTTTAAAAAATGAAGAGGTTCGCCAGGAAATTTCCCATGCACATAAAGTGTGAGAACTCATCACCTTACAGTTACAGATACAGTTCAGATACACGGACAACTACAACAACCTGTCTGGGTCCATGTTAAAACTAAAGTCACAGATCAGGGAAAGGTGATCTGATGGGTAGGTAAAAGATGGGAGCCTGTTTGGCCCAATCTGCTCCTCTGTAAGCAGGCTCAAGGCAGCATTCACTTTCAGAGCATGCTGGGAATACCAAATATAATCTAGGGTATTGCAAGACTCTCCTGTGGGCCGGATTTTCCAGGTGGTGTAAGGAGGCTCAGTCTCTCCATCTTCACTGAGCACCTTGTAGGCACTGTTAAGGTTTAGGCTTGAGGAAGCAAACCTCTTGTATACCTCCTCTGTTGGTTCTGCATTGAAGTCCCCACATACAACCAGGGGGATTTTGGCCCCTTGTGTGAGCAATTCGAGATTCCGCAAGAGATCGGAGCCCTGTGCAAGCCTGAACCTCTCCCACCCAGTGCGGGCTTTCAGGTGGGTAACAGCAAAGCACACCAGTCTGCCAGTCTCTTTACACTGCAGGATTTCAGCAATAGCCACTTGGTTGGTTTTCAGGGTCCTAGCTGACAGCCTGAAGTTGTTACTGCTGATCAGCTGAAATCGGTCCTGCAGAAAGAACAAAGCGCAGCCATCAGGTCCGTTGTTGTGCTCAACATCAAGGCAGGGAGACCATGGCTTTGCTAAAAAAGCACATTGGTAGCCTAACCTACTGAGTATTGGCTGGAACGTGTCAAAATAGTGATCCACTTCCTGCAGGCACAAGACTTCAGGGCGATAAATCAGGATCTCCTCCAGGATCAAGTACTTCCTCTCCTCCCACTTCAGCGCTTCCATGGGACACTTGAGAAAGTTGTCCTTGCCTTCTCCAAGGGCTGTCAAGAAAGAAGCACAGAAAAGCATAACAACATGAATATGACTCATTTTCACCAGGCACAAACAAATGTCATGCGTTGCCTAGAAAAGATGAAGTAGAATGTTGTGTGGACAATACAAGCCCACAGTACGTTCAGAAATACACAGTACACAAGGTTTACACTTTCAGATTAGCAGAATATTGCCAGTTCTAATAAAGTTTTGGCTTTCAATACTGTATGTCTCTCGCTATAGAATAGGAAAAGGTTGCAACCCCTGTCAGGGTTTTATGGTCATCTGTGGAGATTTATTCTATTTATATGTTCTGGTGATCATTGTCACTAGGACTGAAAATGAGGGAAAACCCAAAAACGTGGAGTTTGTCGTCATTAGAACTAAAAGAGAAAAGAAATTGTCCAGTTGGGACATTTGTTTCAGTGACAGCTAACAGTAGATTTACTTTTCTTTGGAGGGTATCCTATCACGTCCTTTTGCGTCTATACGACTGGAAATGAAGGAAAATTTCCCAAAACAGGAAGAAAAAAAAAGGAGGGGGGGGGGGCACTGCTTCTGCCAAAATATGACATGCGCAAGTGGCAGCAAAAGGGTTAAAAGGAAACCAGTACTGTCCTGAAAATGCCCGTTGACTGGCTGTAGTATCACCAGGCTTCAATTTTTATAGGTTTTCTGACAATAGCTGCATGCTTATTTTAGGTAAGTGACGCAAAGTACGTGTGTGTGTAGGTGTGATCAAAAAACAAGGTGATTGCTGCTGCTGAGTGCCATCCAAGGGAAAGGCAATGATCTGAAATACAAGAAGCAGCCTGGTGGAGCTTAGTAATAGTGCATGACAAGTTTCAACTTGTTTGATGCAGTCAGTTGTGAGCTAAAAATGTGGTGCGTCTTAAAGTGTGCCGTAAATCATGGATCACAAAACGCATTAACATGGAATTGTGTTTCAATCTGCAAAAAGTGCTAAAGAAAAAACACAAAAATGTTCAAATTAGTTGATGGCAATGCTGCAGTGACCATGAAGACGGTTGACAAGTAGTTTGAGGAATTTTGTAATGGTTGCGAATCGGTTGAAGATGAGGAGTGATCGGGACATCCTTCAACATCAAAAACCCAAGAGAACGTTGAAAGAGTAAGCAAAAGGGATTCCATCAAACAGGCGACTATGCAACATTTCTGAGGATCTGAACATAGAGGATGTGCGGAGAAAACTGCCTGAGAAATGGGCAACTGTTTCATCCGCCATCATGACAACGCTCCGTGTCACACACCGCAATTTCTGTCAAAAACATTACCATGTGTCCTCATCCACCGGATCTGGCACCATGTGACTTCTGGCTCCTCCCCAAATTCAGAATGACTAAGAAAGGTAAACTTTTTGAATCGATTCCGGACATGGAGGCAGCCATGACAGCACAACTAAAGACACATGAAAAAGGGACTTTCAGAACTGCTTCAGAAAGTGTGATGGGATAAGTGTGTCTGAAGCAAAGGGGAGTATTTGGAGGGGGATTCATGGCAATGTGTCTTTTATGGTCATTACATTTTTTCTTATTTAAACATTCCCCGCATTTCTGGATCATTCCTCATATAGGAGCTAGAGATGACCAGGCATGCAGTATATTTAGGAGGTCAGAATGGCAATCTATATCTAGTACAGATAAGCAATACACCTTGATCACCAGCCAGTCACTAGACAAGGGAGAAGCAGCAAAAGTTCAAGTTGTTGACAACACAATTTTACAAAGAAAAAGAAAGTGCTCATTGAGTGGTGTTGTGCTCACAATTTAATTAGTTTTAAGCATTTATACTATTTAAATTAGATAATACCTTTAGTTATTGGATTAAAAGAGAACTATGGGGTAAGTGTTTTTTCCCCATAGTTCTCTTAAGGGTCACGGGAGGACTTATACTGAGCTTTGGGTCACAGAAGGATAGCTTATCACAAACTACAGCTCATGATCTACTGTGAGCGCCGCAGCCTGGACTGATCCCCACATTACCGTCAAGATCCACCCAGCTGCGTGAGTGACAGCGGGCTCTGCCTATCTAGAGGCAGAGCCCGCTGTACCCGCCCGTCCATTCTGCCAGTCAGCACTGGAGGATTGGAGCGGGGGAATCCCTGCAGGGAGCCGTGAGTGACAGTCACGGCTCTCTGCAGGTACAGGATCTAGAAGTGAGCGAGGGACGGTATGTGTTCGCTCACTTCCCAATCTATTGAGCCGACATGTGACAGTTTCATCGTCACACGTCGGCTCGAACTATGAGGTTGAGTGATTTTCAGGAATTCAAGGATTTGTCTGGAATTCAGAGTAGGGCTGTCAAGCATCTCTCTATCACGCTGCTTTTGGCGTTCATTGAACACAGAGCAGCAATCCAGGGGTCCACATCCGCCATTGGCTTTTTTGCTGAAGCACTGGAAATATTATATAAATACAACTTGCTTTCCACTGTGCCCAGGAAATGAGCCAAGGGCAAGTGTGCACCCTTGTAGCACTGCTCCAATGAACCCTAGAAGCCCAGAGACAGGGGACTCCGAATCCCATTTATGCTGTGCTCAGCAGTCAGGAGCTGGCCCGAGCTTGGTCTACCAGAATTAACATACACCTATGCTTTATAAAACTGTATCATCACAGGTAAGCACGGTGGGTATTGCAGATTGTTTATGCCTGTCAAAATAAAAATCACACTTATGGACACAATGCTCCTACATAACATGGCACATGTTTACATTCTCTTACCTTGAGCAAGGATATTCCATTGCATGACCCTAAAGGGATGGGGGCTGCTGAAATCATCTCTGTGATGGACAAATTCTCTAAGGAGCCGGGGAGGCCTTCCCTGTAGGGCAACTTGGCATTCCTCCAAAAGATCCTTGGGGTCCAGCGGATCCAGCTGGTCATGCTCTGACTGTTCCAGGTAATCCTGAGGCTGGGGGATGGCTGCGGTACTGCTGAGAGTCTTGGCAAGAGCACTGTACAGGCGGCTTGTACCGTTTCCCATGGAACAGACTGGAAGAAGGAAGAGAATATGTCAACGTTCAAATGCCGACAAATGTGAAGCATTACTTGCAGTTCAACAACTTAATTATTATAGAAAATTTTACTCCAATTCTGGTTTTGGATACTTCCTGTTTGACTTCTACATTTGATTCCAACTGCTGACTCTCGACTGATGCAACTTAACTATTAATGCAAATACAATCTGAAGGGAGCACTGCTGAGCTGCAGAACAATCAGGGTTTTAAACAGTGGACAGAAGAAATAAGCGTATATTTTCTAGGTGATCTAAGGGAACATAAACGGATTTCATTTGTTCCAATGCGTTTGCTGCCAACTTTGTACCCTCCCAGTTTCTGGTACCCCAAAACCTGGACCTTAAGCATCAGAGCACAAATGGCAGATACTAGCACACAAAAAAAAAAATCTGACTTCTTCAGACTAGAACAGCACAGAACACAACAACCCAGCAATGCTTACATACCATGCAGACAACACCAATGTGCATGGTTGTACTAAACAAATGGAGACAACTGTCCAAGAATGGAGATCTTTCATCAGAGGTGCTCATCAGCAAGAAACTGCTAAAATGTTTCACTGGCTGGTGACAGCAGATGGACAGAATTGTGAACACAAAGCCAGGGGCTATTGCACAGGCATCATAGTCCATGAAGTAGATGCTGATTCTGCGCAATGCCTGATCAAAGATGCCAACTTTATGGAGAGAACGGAATATGAAGGCACTGTCAGCACTCAAGTGAGGGAAAACCCAAAATTTAGATTTTTATTCTTTCTAAAAAAAAGTTTTATGGTTTTTTATTTATATTTAGATGGTGGGTGGGTGGAGGGTTTGGGGGTTAGAGAGTGGTGGTGGGGTGGTGAGAGGGGTTTAGGAGGATGGTTGGGTGGGGTGGAGAGTAGGAGGGGATAACGGCGTTTTTAATCGGAACAGTCTTAGAGGGGATTTCTCTCACAGTTTTCTGGCCATACAAGGTTAATATTTCAGCAGATTCACAGATATCGGCCAAACAGTGGGTGGCCCTGCTGGCTTGCCATAACTCAATAGCCTGCAGGCGGAATGAAAACATTTGAAATAGTGTGTGACCAGTTTAAAGAACTATCAGTGTAAGCAACAATGCCAATACATAAGGAAGCACAATTCCTCCTCCCACCCCCCACCAACCAATATGGAGCACTGAGGTTTCATATGTCCTACCTTCAGATGGAACAACATGGTATCCCATTTTCCTGTTTGACATTGAAATTGCAATTTGTACATCCATCCTGCCTGAACAGCTCTTTACACTAAAACAACGCTGCAGACAAGTCACAAACCACATCAATGTCCTCTATGTTCCAGTTACTGTGGAAGGGTTTAGATCACCTTGCCACTAAGTCTGTCTAAACCCATTAGTGGATAAGAGAAGTTAAACGCGTTAGTCAGTAAGCCATACCAGTGACAATCAAGGGCGTCTGTCTGGCTGGTGATGTACACAAAGCTTACTGGCTGCACTCCTTCCTGCTTTCCATGTTCCGAGAGAGAGAAGTAAAAAGACTTGAGCAACTTTTCTAGCAAAAACCGTTCATATGGTTTGCTCCTGAAATTCAGATTTTCCTTCTGTCACGTAATGAGGTAGCCACACTTGTTATATACATCATTTTGAATAAAAAAAGATTTCTATATGTTCCTACAGTGGACATTGCATGGTGTATAAAGGGTCTGACCAAGAACATCAGGAACCACGATGATTGAGAGTAGGGCTGCAACAACTAATCAATTAAAATTGATTATAATCAAGAATGAGAAACTGTCAGCGATTCTCATCATCGATTAGTTGCTTTTCGATTAGTTGCAGCCGCCATCGCCCTGCTCCTCTACAGGTGAAACTCAAATAATTAGAATATCGTGCAAAAGTAATTGCAGTAAGTGCGGCAAAAGGGGCCCAAACCAAGTACTGAGTACATATGCATGCTTGTACTTTTCGATATTGTTCTATGTACAATCCGTGTTTTATTGATTGCATGTAATCTACTTTTTTGAGGTTGTGGATTTGGGGTTCTTGGGGTTTTCATGAGCTGTAAGCCATAATCATCACAATTATGACAAATCATGGCTTGAACTATCTTGCTTTGCATGTAATGAGTCTATCTCATATATTAGTTTCACCTTTTAAGTTGCATTAGTGAAATAAATGAACTTTGCACAATATTCTAATTATTCGAGTTTCACCTGTATTCTCTCTGCTGGCAGCAGCGGTCTGTGTCCCTTTCAGTCCCTGCCTGTATTGGCAGAGGCAGCAGGGACACAGACCACTGCAGCCGGCACCAGCGGGGAGGAGAGACTGCAGTAACTAACTCTGCATTCCAGCGCGGTGCCCCCCCCACACCCCCCATACCTCCTCTTCTACTGGTGTTCTATCAATCCCTCGGACTCGAGTCTCCCATCAGGCGTCAAGTCTCCCATCAGCGGCTGAAAACAGTAGCCATCCTGCTATTGGATATTTTATCTGCTGATTGACAACACTGCCTGTTGTCAATCAGCAGAGGAGGACCTGATGGAGAACTTTCTCCTTCAGTTCCCTCCTCTATAGATTGACAACAGGCAGTGGGCGACAATAGCAGGCTGGCTATTGCCTCCACTCACTGCACGGACATTCAGCAGGCAGCTGTCATTCCCCAGCAAAAAGGAAAGGTAACGAGGGGTCTAAAAGACCCCTCATGTCACCTTAACCATTTGCTGTCCGAAGCCCTCGTTCACACCTGAACGTTTTGTAGCGCGTTCTACGCTCGAAGAACGCTCTACAAAACGGTCAAAAATATAAATTGCATTGGAGTCAATGGACTCGTTCCCACCTCGCCGTATTTCCGCCCGTCCCGAACGCGCTACAAAACGGCCCACGCCTGAAAAAGGTACAGGTACTACTTTGGGCCGTTTTGTAGGGCGTTTTCCATTGGAATACAGCCAAGTAGCCTTCGGAATTGCGCAACTTTTTAACCGCGAATCGCGGTATAAAAACCACGCGACAGACGCGCTTTTGCAATACGCCTAGGTGTGAACGAGGGCTTTGCACACACATGATAAAATATAAATTGGCTAGAAAACAGCTTCAAACCCCCCAAACAAATGATATATGTTCTGAAAGCAGAGGCCCTGTAGAATAAAAAGAAAAAATGCTAGCTGCAATTTTATGTCACATGGAATTTGCACAAATGTTTATCAAACATGTATTTTTAGAATAAAATAAACTTAAATTTAGTGCAGAGAAACATAATATACTGTAATACCCAATATAAAATATGAAAGATGGGGGTCACGTCAGGTAAATGGATACCAAACATGTCAAGACTTAAAACTGCGTTCGCCCGTGAAGCCGCAAAAAACTTCAATACCCCAAATTTCCCAAAAGGGAACACTGTAAACGCTGTTACCGCTCATCAGTTTAGTGCTAACAGTGATTGATGGCCCTAGAATTATTGTTCTCACTCCGACGTTTACGGCAATATGCAACGTGTGGCGAAATTTATATATATATATTTCATTTTTTAAGTAACCCTATTGCCATCATATAGGGGGTCACATGGCACAAACGATCCGACGGCTGTATAGACGCCGGATCACTTGTACATTAAAAAGGAGAACTATGACATGAGTGATTTCCACTCACCTCATAACCGTCATCCGGCTGCGGCGTCTCAGTATACCGCGAGCTGTAGCTCGCGGTATACTGAGCTTAGGGTAACGGGAGGATGCTAGTTTGTGTCCTCCCGTTACCCTAAGGAGAACTATGGGGAAAAGCCCTGGCCCCATAGTTCTCCTTTAACAGCCATCGCTGGCTGTTAAAAAGGACACCAACCACCATCTATAGACGGATTGTGGCACGGAAGTGGCTAATATACACTGAGTGGATTATTATGACCACCCCATCAGTACTTCGTTGGGCCACGAGATGACTTAGCTGCGCCGCCTCGTGACTCCACGAGATGTTGAAAGGTGATGCGAGGAATCTGACACTGGTACAAGACAACAGAAGGACAACAGTGCAGTCTTGCCACTCTCCGTTCTGCCCTAACATTGACTAGTCGCTGACGGCCACAATTCGCACGTTCAGACCCAGATTTTCGGCTGACAGTCCAGTCTGTAAACACTTTAACAATGAGCCCCTCTTGAACATTTAACAAATTCTGCTGTTTTGCTGATACTCGCTCCATGGCTCCGAGCGCCAACAATCATCCCACGTTCAAAGGCTGTTAAATCCCGTTTTTACCCATATCTTCTACTGTCGTGGTAAACAACCTGCTTCCCTATTTATAATGGTCTGGCCCTCTAGCAACTTCAGCGCCAAATTATAGCTAATTTGCCTACAAACGTCAGGTGGTCATAATAATCTGCCCACTCAGTGTATATCTCTATCTCCATCTGTTACGGGCTGACAAATTTTGCTGCAGGAGGTGCGATTCATTTCAATGGATCCTAAATGCACCTCCTGTCCACAGTGTGATCGCCCGCACTAGAGCGCGTAGTACCCGTGTTCCAGTGCATGGCGATTTTTAAAAAATGTGCATACCTTTTAATTCCGAAGTAAATTTTGTTAAGGTGCCATACACCATACAACCATTGTACAACTTTTTTTGTCCAGACATCTCACCCCCGTTCAATTTTCTTACAACTAGCCCATCATGCTCAGACCAATGTAGTTCGCAAGTAACGCTGGTCAGCCCCACCATTTTGAGATTTTTGTTGTACAACAATGCCACTAACCTGTCAATTGACATTCAACTAGACAAAAGTTTTCTAGCTTTCTGCTTGAAAGACAAAAATCTGCCAGTTGTACAGTAATTGTTGTACACTTCCCATCAGCTGCCAGATTTTCGGATGAAAACTGCGATTGCAGACAAAGATCTCCAAATTGTAAGGTGTATGGGCACCTTAATGCTGCATTTGTGTATTTTATTTTAAATAAATGACGGTAATAATTTTTCTTCTTAAATCGAAAAAAAAAAAAAAAATCAGC